ATTAAAATCATTGAAAGAATTATCTTTGAATTAAGAAATAATTTTGAAAATAAAGAAAGTAATTTATTCACCACTGGTCACAAAATATTTTACAAAAACTAGGCAAACAACAACAAAAAATATTAATAATGAAGTATTATTAACAGGAAGAAATCGATTCATTTCTAGTGTTTTTCTTTGCAATTTGTGATCGTCACCGAAGTTGAGAAAAGAATTCAAAGTTACAATGATGTTATTAAACATTTAAAAATATTCTTTGATTTTACAATAGATACCAAATAAAAGCATGAATGTTTTAAAATTTTATCTGATTTATAAATGAGTGATATAGACACTAGTCGACTAATTAAAAAAAAAAAAAAAAACAGCACATTTTCGAAGGAGAAAGTGTTTTTTGCAGGAGTGACATGTATAATTTACTATCAAATAGTTTGCATTCAACATTTCCAAACATAGATACTGTGCTGAGAAATTCTTTTAACTCTTCCTATTAGCAATGCTACACGAAAGGTAATTTTCTGCGTTAAAAAGAGTGAAAAACTATTTACAGAATACAATATCCCAGGATCTCTGGACATAGAAAACGAGGAATTAGAACATGTGAATTACGAAGAAATTATTGACCAGTCTGCAGTTTAAAATGTCAGGAAAGTTTTGATATGAGGTAAGTATTTATTTGTATTAGTTTATATTATTAATATATTTAATACAACATTAGTTACTACTTTACACCGTTATGAATTACCTAAATAATTGTCAAGAGTAATGCTAGCGATAGGGGCCCAAATTTGAGTTTGCACCTAGGGACCCAGAATAGCCAAATCCGCCATTGAATATGAACGTCAAAGACTTCAGAGTTGCTCCATAGTATCCTCTCTATTGAACATACTATTATTCTGCAAACCTTACGCGATTACTTTTATGGAAATCAGTGCACCTGAGAATACCACAGAGTAAGAAGGAAGGAGAAAACTTGGGTGCTGTGACCATATATTTGTTTTTGTGAAGTTTTCTGTTTTGGTCCTGAGGAGCATATTGCCTTTTTCTCTTCTGAACTCGTTCATTATTAAGTCTAAGACTTTGCATTTGAAGAAATGGCATCTTCCATGAGTCAAAGGAATTATAGCCAAGAAAAAGAGGGTAGACGATTGTCTGAAAGAGTTGTTAGGTCTCATATAAGTCTTATTCTGGACATTGGACTTGCACCATTGCTGTAAAGGTCCACGGCTTCTTTCTTGATGTGGCCACAGCCTTGGAAAGAAGAACAGCCAATCAAGTTATCACCCTGAGGATCAGTCTCAGTGCACAGGAGGCACTTAATACTGAGGGTCGTCATGTGATCTGTCACATCTAAGACTAAATAGGGCAGCCTATACAGGACTCCCAGTACTTTGTTGACCAGAATAACTCAAGCTTTGGTCATTACCATCTGAAACTAGCAGAGAGAGATTGGAACTGTCAATTTTGGACAATGTCATCTTGTAGAAGAGATACCAGGCATTGAATGGTGAGAATCCTACTTCAGTGCTTGGTAATATGCAAAGCAGACGCAACCTCGTCAGGAGTTTTTGGGTCAAGGACCATAAACGTACATCATTAGCAGATCACATTATGGTGATCCATGAGCCTCTGGTGAGAGACATACTTCCAGGGCTACCATGGGTCACAGAGAAGCCTGAAGTGAAACAGTACTGATGGACGAACTAACTACCATAACTCGCTGATCTGGCACTCAAGGGATGTTACCTGACACTCGTTTAAGTGTATGGGTGCCTAAATATGTCCACTCTACTCTGACGTTTAGGATGTCTTATTCTGGCATTGGCTAAGAGTGTGTAGAAGCAAGATTTATGTTATCCTCACAGGTCTTAAGCAGATTTTTCTCCAAACTCTTAAGGGTACAGCCATGGAAAGTAAGGACCACTACCTTGAACATTTCAGACAAGTCAGTATCTGGAATGAACGTATTCAAGAACAGACGGTGTAATACCTTATGCTAAATCTGTAAGGTTCAATGTTTGACTCGATCAAGTGTTTGAATGAGAAAGATGACGGTAAAAGACGTGCATGGTAGTTCTAATGGTTTGGCTAAAAGAAGCCAATGAAGACTTCATCATTGCTATGGCTGGGATTAACTGCCAGATCAGCAGTTAGGACATTCACCAATTGTGTAATCAATGACTAAAAAGATGTGGCATTACTTGCTTTCTGAGCTACCAAGCAGAGTTTCACTAAAAGATATCTGTAGGATATTGGGTGATAGTTGATCAATTATTTATACATGATGGCCAGTGTATGTAGATGTAATGTCTAGAATATCATCAGTGTGTATGACCAAGTTTAAAAAACTTGGCTGAAAGGGTGTTGCAACCTGTTTGATATACAAAAATTGTTAAAAGTTAATTATTTTAAAAGCAATAGTTATGACAAGTTTTGTTATGTAACTCTGTAATAGTCGTATGTTGCTTGCTTGCTTGCGTATGTAGTTTAATTGTTGCACTAGGCTTTTGTAATACTGTTGATGTCATCTTACTCGAAGCTTCTAAGTTTTTCTTGTGTGTCATATTGTTGTTACTAAAGGACTAGATATTTCTAGATTTTTCTGTCGTACTTTATAAATACATGCAGATACAGAGAGTAAGTTAGTGAAAGTAAGACAGTTTGTGAGAGATATAGATCTAGACTTTGTACGTTTAACCATAAAGAATGTATAGTGGCGACCTGGGCCACATCAAGGTATGTGGAGGCCCTGAGGCAAGTATCCTTATGTATTAAAAACAAACTTTCAAATATAAGAAATAAGTATATAAATCTAATATTGCAATATTCGTAAATAATGATAAAAAATATTTGTGGGAGCCCTGAGGCAGCTGCCTCATGGTTAATCCAGTACTGGTGGCGACTTTTAAAGTGTTATAATGGCAGAATGTATTGTACTAACAGAGATAGAGGAGAATGTTTTGTCTTGTCAAAGGGTGTTCTAAAGTCATTGAACCCTCCATTATTTAAAGTTCTGGATACAACTGTGATAACCAACAGTGTGACGAATATTTGTACATATGTTTGATTTGTTTGGAATATATTATTTTAAAATGACTGAACTGTGTGCTGTCCATTTATTGTTTGAAATGTATCACCAAGTCACAGACACCTAAGGTAAAGAATCCAGCCCTTTATAAAACCTGACACAACCCTTACTTTCTAAATACTGGGTGATTATCAGAAGTGAAATTTATACAACAGTTTGTGAATCATACTTTCTCTAGCCAATTAGTGGCGAATTTTCTGCAGAGCACACCCTTTGATATTTGCTAGACATATCCAGTATAATTGATATACTGGAGGAGCTATATACACACTCAGTATACTGTGATGAAGCTTTCTTTTTACACAAAACCATGCAGCAGTTTATTACTGGATTGTTTCACAACATGAGAGAGAGCTACTGTAATGAGACATTGTGAAGTGATGAAGGAATGACTCCAGAGGTAAGCAAAAAGAAAAATTTTGATTGCCCAAGGATTCAGAATGGTGAGACAATTTTAACAGATATTCTGTTTCCCAGTGAATTTATAATCAGTCCTTTTGATGCCTCTCTAGATGGTTTGGTGTGTTTAAATTCTGGTGTTGTTGCTACTAGTGAAATTGTAAAGGACTTGCTAGCTACTCAAGAGTGAAACTGCATTGAGGGATTGCTTCCAATACTTGGGATATTTTTACACCAATCAAAAGACAAAAACTGAAAACATTTAGCAATAAGGTCAAATCAAAAATAAAATCAATATTAGCTGACAAAGAATCAATTCTTCACGGTGAGAAGAAATATTTTACAAGACTTCTTGTAATAGGCTAAAGCAGAAAAACTGATCTTAGTGAAATTTTATCCTACTCTTTGGAATCAGTTCCCTACCCTCTTGTTAGTACTGATGGTACTCTGGCAAAAACCAACAAATCAGCTCTACTCAATGTTTATGGAGTCCATGTTGTAGAGAAGGGTGAAATAATCATTGATGGAATGGCTGTCATCTAAGCACTATGTGGTATTCCTTTTACATTTGGTAAGATGGCAGACATCATTATACTCTACATAATTAAGTTTGCAACAAAGTAAAAGTGTATTAATTTGGAATTTGTGACAGATCAGTATCTTAGCATAAAAGTGTGAAATGGTCCCACTGAGTAACAGGTGGCTCACAAACTATAAAAATCTACAGCAAGGAGTAGAAAAACCCCTAGTCAATGGAAAAAGATGGTAATAGTAAGGAAGAACCTCAGAAATTCTCATACGCCATACAGAAGGATGCAAATTTTATAGCTCTAGGCAAGGATATTTCTCTTTACATAGTCCATGGAGAGGAATGTCATTGCTTGGCTGTGTAGGAAGGTTCAGTAACAATCAATGCTATGGATGAATTAAGACATGACTATAAAGAACGTGACATATGAACATTTCATCATGTAAAACATGCTTACCCAATTCTGCGCAAATGTGAAAATTAGGAGCTCAGATAGAGATTTTGCAGTCATAGCCATCAGTCTGAAGTCAAACTGCCATTCAATTTATATTTCTTTACTGGTGTTTCAAATCAAAATCATATGACCGAATTGGAGAAAGCCACTTCAGCTCTAAGCCTTAATGTAAGTACCTCTCTCTTTGGATTCCACACATTTACAGGATGTGATTCTACAAGTGTCTCCCTTTTATAGGAATGGAAAGAGAAAGACATTTGCTGTGGTCTGTAAGAGTGAAGAATTTCTTGATGCTTTCACACTTCTCTGAAAAGGCTTCACACTATAAGATTCAACACTTTTCTTGTACTTGAGAAATTTGTGTACCACAGTAGTACCAAAATATAGATGGATAATTAATTGTGCATATGTTAAATTTATGTTCTGAAGAAAATTTGGTGTATAAGACATCCCAGTAGAACAAGAATTGTGAGGTCTGTCACAAACTATTGACAAAAATATTTAAAATGAAATATATTATTCATCTAAACTCGCTATAATTTGAAATTTTATTTTCACGAGTTTCAAGTTTCACAAATTAATTTAGTCTTCAACTTAATATAATTCTATGTACATTCAATACTTTTAACCAATTAGGATTTCACAGGACACATTTTGATTGAATTATAAACAAGAGCCTTTCATCAGTTTGATGTCAAAATTAGTCACCAGCCTGATAACTTTGGATTTGCTGTGACAAAAAAAACTGCAGAATATTTTGTAGAGAACTTTTAACAAAAGATCTGTGAAGATATTGATTATATAAATCTGCAAAAAATACGTATTGCCCTTTTTTTGGAGTGAAACTCCTTTTCTAGGCTTAAATTTCAGTTCAGCATACAGCTTATATGCCATACACAATGCTGACAGTTGTCATGACAATGAAGTGCAAGGACATTAAACCCCACATGCCATACCAGATCTGATCAATGTTTCAGAGAATATACACAAATCTTGTGCTAAACTACATCATATCTCACCACACCAGATCTCATCAATGTCACAGAGCATACACATGTCTTGTGTTAATCTATCTAATATCTCATCACAACAGATCTGATTGATGTTACAAAGTGTATGCACACATCGTGTGCTAATTTAATATCTCCTATGAATATATTGGCTTGCCACCCTAAAGCCAAAGTTATGTTCAAACCATAACTTATTTTATAATGTATACTTTCATTATTTAACTATTACTTGCATCATGTCACTTATTTATCTGGACTCTTTACATTTTATAAAACAATTATAAATTTAATAACTTTATCAGTTATCAAAATTAAGTCCCACAGCACCATCAAAAGATCTAACAGTGGTTGACGAGTTTTTACTTTTATAACTCAGCATGCAGAGCACCATTCATAATTAAGGACACGTCAGTATATTTATTGTAAAAAATGCTACCCTAGTCATGTCCTATTAAAGTACTATACATTAGGTATAATGCTTGCGAAGTTCTGTCTTAATTTTGATGATGCTCATATGAGAAAACATAAATAACACATTTAAAAATTATTATACATTACATTATAATAAAGATATAAGTGTTCTTTTGCAAGGCTTAAGATCTACTAATACATATCAATTGTACAAAGCTTAATACAGACTCACAATGACTGTATAATATTGTACATCTGTCTGTAATTTAAGGCTGTGGCTATTTCATGATTGTAAATGCAACAATAGTCTTCATGTAAAAAAAAAAAACTTAGCCAATACAACAGAACTATATTTTCCTGTGACTGCATTACATATGTCAACTTTTTTTTTTTACAATAGTAAAAAAAAACAAACTAGAACCTGATATCTGATACATGTATTTAGTTACACAGTATTCAGAAAAAAATAACTATTTACACTATTTAAATATTACTTCCTTTCAACATAAAACCAACTAGAAGTTAATGACTCCAAAGAGTGCAGGCACCATTCGAAGTTGATCCAGTTGGGTTGATAGGAAATTTCCCTCAGTTTTCAGATCTTGTAAATTTTTGTGAGCCACCTCTGTCACTCTCTAAAAAAGTAAAAAATAAGAGCCTGAAAAGTACTTTCTTTGGCGAATATTATTAGATTTTTTGGTCTACTATTACAGTTGATCTCATAATCATAAATTCTGAGTGAAACATGACTTACAGTTAACACAAATATTAACATATTTTATCATTAACATTAATCATCTGTTTTCATTTTTTAGGATTATGGTAAACACAATACACTGTAAAACAAATTGAAAGAGTCTGTTATTATACCTTTATAAGAAAGAAAAATAATGACTTCGATAGATTATACAATGACAGGCTATACAAGTTCCAAAGTTTAAGTATTCTTCACACAGTGCTCTGTCTTTACAATGTTTTATAATTATATTCAACTACACAATATGGAATTAATTTTCTGAATTTTGGGTAATCAAAAATGGTTTAAGAAAACATATTGACTTGGGAAGTTGGAGAATGACTTAATACACAACTGGTACTCTGCTAAAAATGGCTTAAGAAAATATACCAGTTTGAGGAAGTCTTGCTATATTTTCTTCCATCAATAAAACTAGTGGATGAAACTGTTTGAAACTTCATAAGAACTTTCATAATTGCACGTAGTTTAAGAAACATAAAGCCTGTTTCTTTTGATAAATTTAGTTATTTTGCATCATGATCTTTAATATCTTGGAAAATTACATTAGGAAATGGTATTTATAAGAAATGATTACAATATTTATATTTGTTCCAGATTTGAACTTATTACTTTTATGTTTTAGTACATTATTTTGAAATCCCAAAAAATTTGCATCATCCATAAAATGCAAATTTTATCTATTTTTAATTTTTTTAATAATCACGTACT